ACTCACTCACTCACTCACCACTCACTCACTACTCACTCACTCACTCACTCACTCACTCACTCACTCACTCACTCACTCACTCACTCACACACACTCACTCACACACACACACACACACACACACACACACACACTAACTCACTCATTCACCCACTCACTCACTCACTCTCGCTGTATTTGCAGTACTTAGAGCGACGTTGAATACGTCAGAGACGCTTGGACTGCTGACCCTGACGACCGTCAAAGTGTCGCTTGTCATCAAGCGGTCGCAGGTCGACATTGACCCGAACACGACGACGTACCTGTGGACGGACGATATGTGCCTATGTCCGGCGCTGCGACCGGGCAGGGAGTACCTGATCATGGGTCACGAGGACATGTCGCGAAGTCGTCTGCTCTTCTCCGAGACGGACAACAGCGTGGCGGTGAAGTGGAGCGACCGCTACATGAGTCGTGTGGCCGTGAGTATGCAAATTATCGATGTCAATGCAAATTATTGATATCAATGCAAATTATCGATATCAATGCAAATTATTGATATCAATGCAAATTATCGATATCAATGCAAATTATTGATATCAATGCAAATTATCGATATCAATGCAAATGATCGATATCAATGCAAATTATGAAGAGCTGATAATACATTACTAGCAGGAGTGTATAATATCAAGAGCATATAAAGAAGGTTTGATTTCCTTCTTTATATGCTCTTGATAATATAGAGGTAATATGTAGAGATCTATATTATACACTCCTGTTATTATTACATGTGTGATGGATATATCGCAGTGATGTACAGGTGTGCATGTGATGCGTTAGAATGCATATATGCCAGTGTGGCACGGTATACATGATAATTTGGTAGCGTGGATAGTACCAGAAGTAGATAATATTATTTATATCTATATTATATATACTCCCTATTATCTACTCCTGATAGTATTGGGGGTGAATAATGAAGATTTATCATTAATTCACGTATACATTATACGATTCATTATTCACCCCTGATAGTATGTGAAATGTGAAAGGGCGTTGTAGTGTAGATAGGACATGCTAGGTAAAGCGTTGGGAGGGTCTCGCATCTTGCGTGTATATAACTAAGGTTTGACGCGTGACTGGTGTGATTTTACACTCCTGAGTCCTATAGCTTCCCACGAATAATTTTCCACTCGTACATAGCATGCATACCTCGTAACACTCTTGTCTTTCTCTCTCTCTCTCTCTCTCTCTCTCTCTCGGCTCATCCTCGCTCTCCCTCTCTCATCGTCATCTCTCTGCTCTCGTCCTCTCCTCTCTTCTCTTCGAAGGCCTCTGGTCGTCTCGCTACTCCTCTCTCTCTCTGCCGTCGCTCCCAGCTCCACGTTCCCCAGCCTCTCCATTCTGCTCTCTGGCTCTCTCTCTCGTCTTCTCGGCTCATGTCTCTCTGTGTGTCTCTCCCTCTCTGTGTGTCTCTCTCTCCCTTCTCTCTCGCTCTCTCTGTGTCTCTCTCTCTCTCCATGTAACATATCTTGCGCATCATTAAATGCGTTTACACCCGTACGTACGCGCGTACATGTTGCTTTTTATCCATAAAGGAGAGGTTGGGAGTGTTAAAGGAGCAATATGACAAGAGGGAGGTTTATGCAGAGAGGGAGGAGAATATTCCTGTAGATGAGGGACGTAGGAAGGATGGAGAGGAGGAGCTTGAAATAGAGGAATAACGCGGGTGGGCAAGAGTGAAAGTGGCAATGAGAATAATTGCAAGACAGAGATAGGATGAAAGGCGGAGAGAGAGAAACGAGGAGCGAGAAAAGAGGCCGATAGAAATAGGCAATTACAGTGAGAAAAGAGAGAAATTGGTGTTAACATCGAAAGGAGACGAATGAAGAAGAACGTAAGGGAGGGGAGAAAGAAAGAGTGAGAGAGAGGAAATCAGGGAGGGGTAATATATGGGATGGGGTCGAGGTAACGAGCGAGCGAGCGAGAGCAAGGAGGACGAGAGATAGAAGGAGGAAGAGAGAGAAAAAGGGATACGGAGAAGGGAAACGGGAACGGGGGCGAGATAGAGAGAGAGAGAGAGAGAGAGAGAGAGAGAGAGAGAGAGAGAGAGGAGAGAGAGAGAGAGAAGAGAGAGAGAGAGGAGAGAGGGAGGTACGAATAGGGGAAAAGGGAATGCGGCGAGAGACAGCGCGAGAGAAAGAAAAAGAGAGAGATATACGGAGAAGGGGAAAAGGAAAGCGGGCGAGAGAAGAACAGGCGGCGAGAGAGAAGATACGAAATGAAGGGGAGAAGGGAAAGGCAGGCGAGAGAGCGAGAGGCCGAGAGCAGAGGCAGGATTAGCTCCCAAACTAATGACTGGCAGTCCGGTTTAGCCCCGAGAATGACAGACGCCTTTCAGCACACTTGGACAGCCAGCTTTCAGCCGGTGTAACTAACTTCAGCCTAAGAGTGTAGATTAAAGGTGAAATCTAACCACAGGATCGTGCTGCGCGAGTGAACGAGCTGTCTTTTCCTATAATCGGCAGATTTAGCGCGAGGGCAGGCGCACGAGTTAACTCTGCTGGCGCCTGTCTCTTCGGGACCTGATAAAGATTGAAACGAACTTAATAGGTTGAACGGCACCACGGCTGGACGCCAGAGACGCTGACCACATCGCATCGCCTGCATGCCTGTCTGTCTGGCCGTGTCGCGCTGCTACCTCAGACTCGCGCGGCTGCGAATGCAGTCTCCTTGGTAGGAGAAGGTACGCAATAGGACCGTCTGCGACGGATAAAAAAAGCGTCCTGTGCGATACGGCGTTCTTCTGATCGCATTTTCGCGCCGCAGAAAAATAAAAACTCGCCTGGAGTAAAAAACCCGCATCGAAGTGTTCTTTTTTATTGAAGCTTACATTTCTAGCTTCGGACTCTAATGCGACATTGCGACGTTAGTACTAATAGAATATGCGGCGCACTACATCCGAACAATGGCGGACATCAGCATCGGAATTAAATTAGTGTTACATAACACGCGCCACGACGTATCAATTGTAGACGATCACATACACAGTAATGTTGTTGAGCATACCAGATCAACAGACATAACGCACTAGATCGCGGACGAATCGACAGTCGCATAATTAGTGAACATAGCGCTGGCGCACGGAATAACACATTGGCACGACCATCAGAGCAAGGAATAGTAAATTTGTTGACATACCAGATCACAACATACGCACTACACTGGTGGACATCACATCGCATTAAATTAGTGAACATAACACTGCGCACGGAATACAATTGCAGATATCACAAAATAGTAAATTTGTTGACATACCAGATTACAACATACGCACTACATCGGCGGACATCACATCGCATTCAATTAGTGGACATTACACAGCGCACGGACTACAATTGCAAACATCACAACACACTAAATTTGTTGACTTACCAGATCACAACATATATACGCGCTACACTGGTGGACATCATGCGGTGCAACATGCCCGGAATGAGATTACAAGCTCAGTAGGTGGTGCAATCGATGCCTAAAACGTCGTAGCCATAACTATACTACAGTGGCTATATCATCCGAGCCTATAGTGTATATAGTACATCGCGTAGTATAGTGCATATAGCTTACGTAGCAGGCTAAATCCCCTAAACATCCCAGCTTCATAAAACCGACATAGTGTCACGCATTGCAATTGAGAATACTGACTTACAGCGTGTGGCCAATGCGGAATATTTCAACCTACTGAATTTGCGCACAGGACCTATTTAAAACGGCAACTTTTATAATATACGTAAAAGAGAAAGTCAGAGAATCGGCTTTGCGTGCAAGCCAACTCCCATAAAATCAAGGCGGACAAGAATAATAACCACGTAATTTTACAAGTGTGTCACGAAACTAAGCACGTGATCATGGGTGGTCCTAACTAACAATTGACCAAAAATTGAAAAATAGTTATGCACTGGTGTGCAATTCCTTACGTAACGTTGATTAGGAACATATACGGAAATTGTGAATGGAATTCAGCGGACATTGTACTTTCATTCTCGTTTATTCCTAATTTATACAATGTAATATAACGTAATATAATCTAAATAAATTTAATCTAATTTAATCTACTAACTTGTATTCCGGCAAAGTGTTATCTATTTCATACAATTTCCTATGCTGAATACTGTGTTTAATATGTAATGTAACTAGATATTTATTGCGACTGCGTAATTAAAGTGCTTTATTTAACGTGTACATTTGATATTTATTGGTATTATTGTAGAAATGGGAAGAAAAACTAAAGTCTATGGAGAAGAAAAAGAACAAGCGCAGAAGAGCAAAAAATAAGAGCAGGAAAAAACAGAAAGGGAAAGATCAGAGTCGCAGCAGCAATGGAAAGGAAAACAAAAAGAAGGAGAAGAAAAGAAACGGACATGGTAGACGGAGAGACCGACATTGGCACAAAAGGAACAGGTAAGAACATAATAGACGGATGGCACGAGATACAGGTGTACAAGAAATATGTATAGTTGTTTAGATGAAGGAAGAGGAACAGGTTAGAACATAATAGAAAGATGGCACGAGAGACAGGTGTACAAGAAATATGTATAGGTGTTTAGATGGAGGAAGAGGAACAATTAAGAACATAAAAGTGGGGTGACATGGGAGGTAGGTGCGCAGGAAATGTACACAGGTGTTAAGATGGGAGAAGATTAACAGGTATGAACGGGGTAGATATGTCCCATCGGATCATATCCTGTCCTGTCCTGTCCTTTACTGTCTTTTCCTGTCCTGTGCTGTACGTCTGTTGAGGGTTGTTAGGGCATTTTATATTAGCCCCCGGAGAGGACTTACCCAGAGATTTCTACCTCGGGCCTAATACACAACATTCGTTATAATCTATTTTCAGAGCGAGAAAGAACAGAAAAGGTGACGCAGTAACCTTGGCAACGAATCAGGCAGCGACAACGTCGCCGACTATGACAACAACGCCACCACCATCGTTTTGATAGTCGAACCACTCTTTGATAAACTCGACATGAAACCAGAACGCGAGGTGGCTCTAATTCCATAGATCCCATGCTCCGTAGACAATGAATCAATGGATCCATATCTTTGCCGACTATCATTTCAAATTCAACATATAACGTAAATATATATTGCGTATATATTTGCGAGTTGTCTGTGGGTAATTTCATTATCGTAGAGATGAGTTGACATTGAACCTTGCATCTAAGCAGCAGCTCGACCTTTCGCGGCCATCCACTACCGCAATAAGTAACTGTTTGTACACTAGGTAGTTCTTATGATATCCGACTGAGGGTAGTCATCTCCGTAGCTCTGTAGACCACACAGAGGAGTGCTCTAAGGTGCCGAGTCATGCGTGTGTATTAGGAAATCAGCGATGCTCTGATACTGTAGCCGTTGTCTTTTGCACTATATAGACAATTACCGGGACTGGCTCATCTTTGTGCTGAATGAACTAATTGAACAATATGAATTGAGATTTTATTAGACGTGTGTGCACCCTATACGAAAATACTCTGCCGGAATTAAAGCGTCTAATAAGCTCTCCTGCACGGAAAACTACAGTTAAGGTATGAAGAGTACTCACAAGTTTTCTTACCAATGGTGCATGCATGCTTGCATGACAGTGATCGTATGCACCCGCCGCAACATATTAAATATATTGAATACCGTTGCATTGCAGTCATTTCATTCTTGTCAGCTGAAATAGCATCAGCTGCGCTCTGACAGAGTTCGTAATTATGTAATGACATTGTATTTTTCATTTTAAATCGCCAACTTTTGGTTGTATTATATAAACGTCTGGAGTGTTTACATGGCGCTAATAGTTTGATTGTAATTAGCTTACAAGCATCGCTACAAATACCGACATGCTCAAGGTGTCAGAGGTTAGTGTCTATGCTAACAATGCGGGCCCCCGCGAATAATCCTGGCAACCCTGGCAATACTGGCGGAATTCTAAGAGGCACTGTATAGCAATCGGGACGCATTACCTTCGTTAATTTGTACCGTTCATCATTCATTTGTATTTATACAACATTAATCGCACCTCACCGACTTTCTGGCCTTTACCTATACAAGCTTGTTCAGTATCTACTGCTTGGTTAGCGTTGGAAAACGCATACTGGCGATGTTACTAAAACTAGTTAAGCAAAAAAGATCGGCTCCCTATGATTGATGTTAAATCACTTAGCACTTGGGGGTTAGAAAGCCAGGCGGTGTCTGGTGGAATTCCAACCTGCTCAGCGGAGCGAGGTGTGCGGTACGTGCGCATAGCATCTCTTGTCTATACCACATGATTTACGCTTCACTAAAACACGTAAGCCTACCGACTTCTAGATGTATTCGATTTTACCGTGACAGACGATTGTAGATGACGTGTGTACTCACTGTAATAGAATAGTTACGTCGTTGGTAAGTAAGGAAAGTAATCTAAAACGAATTATCTGTTGCTATTGGGGTACGTGCGCGCATGCGTATGCGTGTCTGCGTACCGCGCGCGTGCGTGCGTATGCGTGTGTGTGCGTCCGTGCGTGCGCGCTCGCGCGTGTGTGTGTGCGCGCGCGCGCGTGCGTGGGCCTGCCTCTGCGTGCGCATGTTGGGAGGTGGGAGTTCGCACGCTTTTGCTTAAACTTATCGGGAAGGGGATAGGCTTCAAGCCGGCCTTCTCATTGAATTTCTTGTCTGCCTCTTGCGATGTTAGTCTGCTTATAATGGTCGTCGATGTTCGCGTTGTCCTTTTACTGTGGTCGCACTACAGAATAGGTTTTGCTAACATCCAGGCAAAATCAACTCGTTTCTTTGTTACTTAACAAATCGAATTCGGAGCCTGGGTGACCAAATTGGATGTCACGGACATGGCACTAGTCTCGACAACATTTGGCAGTATTTCTGTAGGAAAATAAATCCTTTGTTACTTAACAAATCGAATTCGGAGCCTGGGTGACCAAATTGGATGTCACGGACATGGCACTAGTCTCGACAGCATTTGGCAGTATTTCTGTAGGAAAATAAACAGGCGCCTAACAGGAAACCAAACCAGTTTCCTTTTAAATGAAGTAAATTTAACGATTTTTGCGCGAGCCGTCTGTGTCAGTGGGGATTTGTGTCATGAAAGCCTACTATAAAAAGTTATCGCCGTGGAGTTGTGTTGGCAGTGGCAGAACCTGTAAGGTACTGACCCATTCCCCGTCGTGTTGTCGCTTCTGATGTATATTAAAGATATTGTTCGCTGCCACATTCACGTCTGTAGGTTTCTGTTCTGTTTAAACGTCCTAGTTCTTGCTGTCAGTAAGAGTAACACGTGTTAACATTACAGGCCTTTTACAGTCCAGATGTCTGCATACCCGACTGCCGATCTAGACTGCCGATACAGTCGGATTAGTGTACAAATGGAAGATTCTTGGCAATCTTATCGACATGATTTGTGTCTAAACTAATATGTGAATAATCGGATATAAGTATATAAGGTATATAAGGTATATAAGGTATTAAGGTAGACTAGGTATAAAATTGATAAGTGCCCAAGCAAACGCGGTGATAGATTTTTCATTGATGATCATATCGCTAACGATAGAAGATTCGCGTAATTTATGTTTATGCTTAAGCCTGCTCTATTATTATCTGAAATCATACTACAGTTTTAGCAATGTTATTTGATAATATTATAGTTACATATATATATATATATATATATTATATATATAGTATATATATAAGAGAGAGAAGAGATGGAGAGAAAGCGAGCACTGCAATGTGTTCAAAGCTAGACTATGGTTAAAGCTTTATCTAAAAATCAACCATCCATTGCGTCATTCTGACGGATAGAGCGCTGTATGAGCCGGACTGTAGGGTTGAAGTTCGTATATAAAACATCCGTGAACCGGGACTTCCGGCCAATGTCTGGTGATGTTTACAACCATTGCGTTTATCTTCGCGTTGATACGTAGTTGAATTAATGAAAAAACAAAAATTAAAAAAATAAAAAAAAGGTGTGGCGTGGGTTGATGAATGCTCTAGGTGCGCGTTTTTTTGCACTTCTCGTGATCAATCGGGCGCGCGCGATGGCAGGCGATCGGCCAAGGCTCGCCGCACCGGGTAAAACACGGAAACGGTCTGCACACACATGTAAATGCCACCGTACACCACACACAACCACTTGCACGCACTTCCCTCCCTCGCCTCACACACCCCTCCCTCGCGCTCACACACCTGGGTGCGCGGGCGCAGCAGGAGGGACCCGCCGCTACTCGCCGCCCCTCCCTCACAGGCGGAGCGCGCGGCGGCGCGCGCGCGCGCGCGGCCTCCCAACGACACCTCCCGTGCCTCTACTCACACCCCTCCCTACTCCTCACAGCACACGGGTGCCAGCAGCAGGCGCAGCAGCCAGCCCCCGTATCGCCGCCCCCTGCCTCCACCACACTACCCTCCCTCACCCCTTTCCCTCACACACACCGACCCCTCCCTGCACACCCTCCTCCCTCCCTCACCACAAGCCCTCCCTCCCTCACAGCACACCCTGCGATGCCGCAGCAGGAGCCAGGCTCAGGCGAGCGCCCGCGCGTAGCGTACGCCGCCGCTCCTCACACCACCTTCTCCCCACACGACACACACCCTCCTCACACACACCTGTGCAGCAGGCAGCAGCAGCAGCCCCGTTACGTCGCCCCCCCTCCCTCCCACAAACCCTCCCCCCTCACATCACACACACCCTCCCTCACACACACCTGGGTGCAGCAGCGGAGCCAGCAGCAGCAGCCCCCGGACGCGCCGCCCTCCATCCCACAGCACACACCTCCCCCTCCACACCACACACCCCCCTCCACAACCGGTGCAGCAGAGGAGCGCAGCAGCAGCCCCCGTACCTCACCACGACGAGCACCCTCCCCCACCCCCGCCTCACGAGCACACAGCAGTCCTCCCTCGACCACACCTGGTGCCGCGAGCCAGCAGCAGCAGCCCCCGTACGCGTCGCGGGCCGCGCCCGCTCCTCCCACCACACCACGCTCCATCGTCACACACACATCCGCCATCCCTCACCACACACGGTGCAGCGCCATGGCGCAGCAGAGCGCAGCGCCCCGGTACTCGCTGCGGCGCCCTCCTCCCTTCCCACACACACCCTCCCTCCGCTCCCCCCTCACACACACACACCCCTTCCCTCATCACACACCGTGCAGCAGAGCTAGCAGCGCGTGGCCCCGACGCTACTGCGCCGCCCCCTCTGCTCCCTCACACACACACCCCGTTCCCTCAACACACACCCCCCTCCACACACACCACACCTGCCCCTCACACACGCACACACACCCTCTAGGAGAGGGATTAGTAGATGATAGCCTATGATACGCAGCTCACGATAGTCTAGATATGCAAGCGATAGCTCATGAGCTCGAGGCTGCCTCCCTAGTTCCAGTATTCGCTGTCACTAAGGCCCGCTACTCCCACTTTTCCACACTCATACTATAATCCTCCTCTCCTCTCACTGTCTGATATCAACACCTCTCCCTATCTTCGAAACATCTATCTACTAACCAGCACTACACACATCGCCACCATATACCGACCTCTCGTATGTCTACTTAGCGTAGACCGCCGTCTAAATATGTCCTGGACATAGGCTATATTCTCCGTTACTATATACAGCATTCTCTTGTAGTTGTGCTGGGACAGTATCGACTTATTAGTTGGCTCGTGGTCACGCGCAGGCCAGTCATCTATTTAAATTTAATAGAAAAATATCATTTTTCTGGAAACCCGAAACAAACCATCTACTTTATCATTTATCAGTGTTGTATACCCATTCCCGCGAAAGCAGTAAAGCTAGGTTGCCTGCATGCAATTCTAGTTATTATTCCATTTGTCTTGTAGCATATGGTCAGAACCTATTAGGCCTATATGTCTGATCACACGACCGAGACGTGCAGCACGCAGATACGATAGCGCCCCCTATCGATCCTCACAGTAATGTTGAGAAACTTTTTTCTGGCTTCTGCGCATGCTAGTATCTAAAGCCTTACAGCTAACAACTACATTTAACAGCTTTTTGAAACCCCCTTATTTTACTATGCGTTTATTTATTGTGGCTTCTACTTCCTGGCATTTCCTTGTTTTACACAACGTCACGAAAAGGATTATTAACTCTTTCTCATTCTATTCACCCCCCCCTCACACACACACACACACACACGCGACGCACGCACGCCGACGCACGCACGCACACAACAGACTCACCACACAGAGACTCAGCTCGGCGACGCTTATCCAACGGACCACCCTGTGCTACTCCGCGACGCAACCCTTCATAAAGTGGTAATAATCTTCTCTTCGCAGAGCTCTGGGAACCTTCACCTGATTCAGCGATGCTCCGGTGTTGTTCACGATGTAATTGCGAAATGCGGTGAAGGTGCCAGGAGGTACGACATACACTTTAACAGGAGCAATGGCATTCTTGCGTCGGAATGATTCGTAAGGGTAGCTGCCATTCCTGAGATGACGATCCACCTGCAATAACATCAACAAAATCTAGGAGTTAGACAACATTCCCTTTTCCAAAATATGCATTATAACAAAATTCCTATTTAACATTATTTTACTTGTTTTAATTAATCATTTAATACATTTAATATTGCCACATGAAATCTAGACGTTTAAAGATTCTCGTAGACAACGTTCCTATTTCAATAAAATTTACACATTTACGCATTCATTTCGAATCTATATTTTACCAGGAGTAATTAATCACAAATTGTGATTATTTACTCCTAATTTTACATCGCATAAGATTCAATAACAATCTTTTTCGTAAAGATAATTCATGACATAATAGTTTGTGTGCTCTCAATAACATATATCGCGTTAAATTGGATGCGTGAAATGGTGCGGGCACGTTCGAGTGTTAGCGCGCGTGTAAGTTAATGTACATACCAATTCTTTCTGTTCCTGTGTTATCTTCGCGTCCTTCGCTCCTTCTGCCTCTAGCTCGACGAACGCTATGTAGTGGGGTGCTTCACTTGCCTCACCTGATTGTTGTTCATCTGCATATCGAACGCAAAAAAAAGCATAACCGAATATATAACCGAATATAACCGAATATATAACCGAATATATAACCGAATATAACCGAATATATAACCGAATATATAACCGAATATAACCGAATATATAACCGAATATAACTGAATATATAACCGAATATATAACCGCATATAACCGAATAACCCGAATATCCACTCTATTTCTCTCTGTACTTGTCTATAGCGCTTCATATTAGCGATCCCTACGTTTAATAAAATATCACGATAATGGATATAGTTGTTAGAATGCACGAGACCAGACAGACCTTCTGGCTTGTCCACCAAGACACTTTCACAGCAGCAGTAGTCCTTGAGAATTACACCAGCCGGCCACTGCTCCATGGCCAGTTGTAGTGCATAGCTGAATGCATCTTCAGACGTCTTCTCCCCACGCACGTTCAGTAGCTGTCCAATTCTGAAGACAGAAACTTGTAGTCAATTTTATGTAGCAATGCTATTCAAATTTCACTTATACGTCCGAATTGCTTGCCCTTGTACTTATTAGTCGTATTGATAAGAAGACGCTCAGAAATGTGTGCTTAACCATTTATAGACAAATAATGACTATATCGAGTACGTTGGTTAGAAAAGGAATAAGCTAGCTACAATTAATTAGTTCAAAACATTTTTCAAACTAGTTCAAACTAGAGAAATTTGTTGCTATGAAGCAAATCAACGTAATTTAGCATACCTCCAGACAGAAGTATGGTGGAGTCAAAATTCAAGATTTTGTTCGAGTATGTAGGATGAAAGCGGTTTAATGAAGGTTAGACTACGGACGAGATGATGCCAGCAATAATGTACGAGCTTTAACCAGAATTAAACAGATGTAGAAAAAAAAATACACCACTTACCCAATAGCCACTATATAATAATCTCACCTGTACTTGAACTCCAGCATAGGTGTCTCGTTGTACTTGTCTGCCACTTTGATAACGTCGCCAAATCTGAACCTATAGAGGCCGTTTCTAGTGGACAGTACTAGTTCGTAAACCTCTCCGACTTTCACCTGCGTAAGGTAGCGTTACATTTGTCGACTACGTGACAGGTAAAAACCATGACGTCATCGCGACTTTTCAAATTTGCGCGCGATCCTGCGATTTTCATCCACGCTAAAATGGGTTATTACATACATAGGCACTTGGAGCGTTTCAATAAAATATAATGTTAAATAAATACGAAATCTATTTACTACCAAAGTCTTAATGTTTCTCTACTCTCTTTCGCCTATTATTGCCGACAATTTCCTGTAAATGCCGTGCAAATGCTCCTCTGCAACACACATGTACACCGCATACACGCTGTCGCACACTGACACATAAATATATATATTTATTATATAGAAATGATAATACATACCTGATCAGCAAACAGCGTCTTGGGATTCTCTTCATAACTGTCGGCGATTGGAATGAACTCGAAGAAGGCACTACTTGCCGGCACCATGACGTATAACGGGGGGTCCCTACTCTTCTCATATAAACCGACCCCTGCAGAGATCAAGTTAACCACACTAGAAAACGTTCTCACCATGCAACAGTAAATTCGTTGTTTTTATGAAAAGCTATAACATATTTAAAAGAATCCATAGAATGACACACTCGATTTATCAAGAGCGTAGAGTGTATAAGAGTAAGTGTAGTAAGAGAATGGTATTTCTTGATTCATAGGTAGCTTTGTAGCTTAACTTCATCATCAGCCTGTGGCGGAAACCAATATAGAAAACCATACCCTAACCCTAAACCAATTCATACCGACTGTTGCTTCCGATGCGCCATAGAATGCAGTGTAGAAATTACAGCCTTTGCCGTAAATCTCTGTTAGCTTCTTCATGTAGATTGCAAACGTTCCTAGAAAACAGAACTAGATCGTTCAATCGATCTTATAATTAATCCTGTATACAATAAGTATAAATAGCCAATCCTCGCTCCTGGTGACATATAGAACGTCTACTAGCTGTGAGACATAGCTGTTTTGAGTAATGATATAGAATAATTCATGTAGATTGAAACGTTCCTAGAAAACAGAGCGATAGAAGAGCGTTCAATCGTTCATATAATTAACCCTGTGTAGCCAATCCTCTCCCGTGTTGACATATAAGACTTCTACTAGCTGTGAAGCATAGCTATTAGGAATAATGACATGGATTAATTCTTACCGGTGGTAATGCAGGTGATGACACCGAGGTAAGGCCAGGCCCTCTTAAAGATGCCAACCGGCCCCTTCTTAAACTCTTCCTCAAGCTCGGCAGCTCGCTCTGGGTCTGGTTCCAAGTACTGAAATCCGAACAGGATTTAGAAAGACAACGCGATTTTATTAAATGATGAGAAATAACGAGACACGAACTACATGAGCCAGCGAAATTGAGGGTACGCGCCAAGCATGTCTCAGTGAGAGAAAGTGTGTGTGAGAGAGAGGGAGCGTATGTGACCGAGAGAGACCGCGCAAGAAAATGAGGATGGGTGTAATAGACACCTTGACAAAAGCGAAAGAGAGTGAACGAGAAAAACAGAGAGAGGGAGGGAGAGAGAGAGAGACAGGTAGAAGAAGAGATAGTGAGAGGGAGGGAGGGAGAGAGCAAGCAATGATACAGACATATTTTGATATGTTGAAACGACACCAGAGTACGATTATAAAATGTATAGATAATTATAAGTGTAAATAATTATTGATATTCAACAGAAAGCAAAACAAATAAATGTATATTTTTTATATAATATCTTATGTATTAAGAAGAATCGGAACGAGTAAATAATTAACACGTTAATGCATAAATTTTTTCAACTATATGTATTAAAAACTGGTTGCCATCGTTACAGCATTAGGTCTGAAGACTTGTTTTACAATGCGATAATGGAATGCAAATGTGTGCTGATAATGTGAAAATGTAGAACGCACTCCTCTGCAACTGATATACACGTATTACATGTTTTACCTCGTTTAACTTCCATCGGAGATCATCTGGAATGTTTAGGCTTTTCTTGATGCGTCCGACGCGTATGTCTTCCACGAACTCTCGCCAATGGGTTTCCATCGTTTGACCAAATGTATACACCATCGACGCAAACACACAATCTATGAGAACTGCATGGCAGAACAGAAGTCATCGTTAGTAACACACAATATATTGCATACTTTAACGGCAAAGGTATGATTTGTAACAATTTAATTAATTAAGCTCCGCAACACTCTGTTGGCAGGTTCCCTTAGCAAAACTCTTATTTAGCTTTCTTAATTGAGGTTGAACTACATGCCCTTCTCTAGCTCTGATCACTTACAAAAGTTCTCAATGGCCCTTGCTCACCTTCAATTATTGTTTTGGTAACATATCACCAGAAGTGTATAATATCAAATAGAGAACTAATTAATTAATTATGTATAATAAATCTCTGTATTATGCACTCCTAATATTACCGCTGCCAGTATGTCATGTCACAATATATTAATTGTCCCAGTTGACATGAATGATGACAGGTTTTATCTCCAATATAAATGGTAATTGTGACTGCTAATTACATTTCTTATGCCATTGATCTAATCCTTGGCCTTCTCTTTTATTCTCTAGCTGCTCCCATCGAATTTTAGTTCAGTTAATCTCTCTTAAAACTATCCGAATCGTAACTGTTCCTCACTTTTACTTTTACTCCCAAACATTCACCATCAGCTGTTGCGCGTGACTCGATAACCCTTCATTCCGGTGAAAATTATTTATTCTCCATGTGTGCTTGCAGCATTCAGACATCTGATTTGGATCGTTTTATGTTTGAAACGCTTACCCAGTGACTTGTCGGCCAGCGCAAACAGGATGTGAATGTAGAGCATGTCGGCTTCCGGTAGAACATGGTTAAATGCCTCTGTAGGTGTCGTCGCTAGCTGCTGGAATACATCTGTCGAAGAAATATATACAAGACTCGTAAACTTCAAGTAAAAGGTGGAAACAGTAAAGGATGAAAAACGTGTATATATATTATTAATACATGATTTATGATACAGAATATTGCCCGAGAAAGTTAAACAGAAACTGTACAAAACTCATGTGATTGTTTGTGTGATTTACACGTTTTGTCAACAAGCTGCTCCTACTGCAAAACATAATGTTTAATATCATCCGTTTTCCTCTTTGTTTTATTCTCCCCATTCACCCCTTCTGTGTATGTGACAGCTGTTGACAGATGACATGCCAAGCCATGGCACATCTAGAAGCATTAGTGATGTTTAATTGCGTATCCGGACGATTGCCCCCTGGTGACAACTACCCCCGGAAAACTAGGGGCTACCACCCGGACAATTACTCACATAGGACAACTCCCACCCGGACAACTATCACCCGGACAACTACCCCCTAGGGTTAGGGTTAGGGTTAGGGTTAGGGTTGTCCTAGGGGGTAATTGTCCTAGGGGGGGGGTAGTTGTCCGGGTGGCAGTTGTCCGGGTGGTAGTTGTCCTAGGTGGTAATTGTCCTAGGTGGTAAATGTCCGGGTGGTAGTTGTCCGGGGGGTAGTTGTCGAGGGGGTAGTTGTCCAGTGGGTAGTAGTCCTAGATTAGTTTAATTGCGTTTAATTTTCGTTGTAAGTTAACACGCTTTTGCACATGCATAACTAGTTATCGTCTAGTCTCTTACTGGTCGTCCAGTCAGGAGGTGGAGTGGAGATAGGGCCCATGCGTATTCCAGCGTCCGTGTATCTAGAAATTGGTGAACATGAAAGCTTTATGACTTCGAATAGTTAACTCTGATCACGCACTGTCTACAAATCCAGGTTATATAAACGGGTTTCACAGCGCCTACATTTTAACGACCAATTTTCCCCAACACATCATCCGGACTTCCCGATGCTTTATTCTTACCTGATTTTAGGCGCAAAGTATACTCGAAGGGTCTTTCCAAGACAACGCTGGTTAGGGAAGTTCTGTAATTCCTGCATCCACACGCCAACAAGCTGTTTCAAAACATAACATTGCCATTAAAGATAACCCACGTATATTTCAAATAGGCAATATTTGCAGGAGGTTGGCATCGCTAAAATGCTCGGATTTTAATTTAATTCTATAATTTTTTCTTTAATTCTTAGTTTTACGTCTTTCTTTAAAATGTAGGACATAAACTGCAATAGGGACATGCCAGTGAGCAAGTACCACCCACACATGTCACAGTAGTATAGTCTCATATATGCTACCTATAGACTGGTGGGATTTCTGGCGGCCATTTTGTTTATGCATATTAGATGGCCAAAAACTAAAAATTTCGCTTGGGAACCGGGCTTATCGGATTCAGCATACTCGAATTATGTTAAAAAGTTTGGTTCCCAACTTTTACCCCCAAAATTCTCCTTGAAGCTTATACAGCACCCTTTTTCAGAAATCCCACTAGCCTACTATGCATCCTATTGTAGTGCCTGCAGAGATCGCATAAGCCATAGCCGCAGTAAGGCTGTAAGCGTGCGCGAATATTAAACTGCGACTTTTGTAGTGTAGTAAATGAATTATGTTTTACTGAGTGCAATCTTTTATTTACGTACGATGACTTCTTATATATATACAACACTTTTTTTTTAATTATTTTTTTTATACGGTAATAATAAATATCCGGGTCTTTGGGGCCGTGTGATGAGCAGAAAAGGACTTGTTTAGTGTCTAGATGCAAGAGGCCACAACACTATAACTGTCTGTTTCATTACGGTCATCATCATATTAGTGTAGTAGTCCTTTGCGACGGGCAGTGCTTTGGACTGTCCACTGCTAGTACTGGAGGTGACGGCCATCATCAATGGCTGACCAGGGATCATCACATCAGTCTCTCCATTCATGATACGCTCTATGTAGTCCTGCGTAAATACGAAGTGTATTGAGTCTTCACGTCGAGCTTATTTCACGTAGCCATGATTTTAAAAGTTCGTACTGTGACAGGTCCATTGCCGAGACATTTGGTTTACTATAGCCATGTCAAAGCGATATTCTTTGAGATAACCCCACTATTAAGCACTTTCATAATATGTTATATATATATATATATATATCACGTTGTACGCTCGGATCACAAACGGCGGATCAAGATATTGTTTTTTTTTATACTCTTACCTTATAATGATTGTATGTGGTGAGGGGGTGGATCTTCACAAACTCCTCTCTGTTTTTGATGCTAGAGAAGTTATATCTTTTTCCATATTCAGTGTTCTTGGCATTGTCAAGCATGCCTGTTAGGAACTCATCCTAGAGATATATGTGCAAAGCCTTAATTCAAGTCATTTTAATTAATAGTCAGAAATATGTATAATGCAGTTATATAGTCCACCTATAAAGTATCAAATATACGCCCTTAATTATTCAATTAAACGATGTATACGCCTTCAAAATTAAATCATGAATTTTTGGTTTCAAACCAATTCAAATTGGTTTGAAATCAATGTTTATTAGTGTTAAAGCTTTAATTAGTTTATACAAAACTCTTCAGCAAATTTTTAATGACTATTTCCACAATTATTGTGTTATTTAACTCTGCAAACTCGGACATAAAATACATATTATGTGTCGGAAATACCAGCATCATGACTTAAATCGGTAGCTGCACATCGGGTATAAATTATGATTCAAGAATTTTCCAAGATAACCTTTTTTCTGAGTCTGCACGTGGCAAACAGAGGAAGGAACAAGGGGTGATCATATCATACCTGGGACTTCTTTATTGCTTTTGAATTCTCGTTAAATTTCTTGCAAGTGACATTACCAACTATCCGAAATACCATCATGAAAAGATACTGTACGATGACTGACCACCACTTGTGGCTCTTGGACACTGGCCCGAGCAGCGACATGTGTAAACATGCTGCTGCCAACAATAGGAATGCTGCGCCTTTCAACACTGCAATGAGAGAAGTTTAGCAGTTTAGACATATTTAGACATATTAAAGTGCACGAAGTAAGAACAGAATATAGTGTTACTGGTAAATATACGCAACTCCGTGTTTAGATGCGCGCTCTCCCTCTCTCCTTCTCTCTCTCTCTCTCTCTCTCTCTCTCTTTCTCTCTCTCTCTCTCTCTTAACTCTCCCGCTCCCTCTTTCTCAATTTCTCTTTGGACGAAAGGATGTGTGTAACTACACCATGTTTTTTAAATTCCCATTAACTAATGCTCAAAACATCCTCCATGATATCCTTCCTGAGAAGCCACCATTTTTGAATCATCTCGCGTACCTTTTAATAGCTCTTATAATATCTATTTCCTACCTTACGCCTTAAAATAGAATTGCACAGGTTTACGTTTATATGTGTATGTATGCGTACGCGCGCAAGTGTCTGTGTCTAATTTAGCGTATGTTTGTTATTGTTTGTTTGTTTGTTTGTTTGTTTGTGTTTGTGTGTGTGTGTGTGTGTGTGTGTGTGTGTGTGTGTTGTT